GTGGAGGCCATTGCAGATCTTCCTCACTTGAAATCCTTGTGCAAGGTCGCCACACAATCAATTCTGATGTAAAGGCTGCTACACAAGAATTGTAAGTGTGGATGCCGCAGTAAATCACCGGTTTTACACTGTTGTTCATGTGTTTCTTGGCTTCCTGTCCTCCGTTCTGCTGCGAGGAAGGTCCGTGGGCCGCTCGGAGACCCCAGGGCGCTCGAGGGAGGGAGGAGGTTTGCGTAAGTACTACGAGCACATTGACTTGGGCTTTCTTTGGGCCAAGTGTAAGCAGCATCAGTTCCCTTTGGGAATCGCGCGCCTCGCGATTCACGCCTATTCCTGCGCGAGGTTCACGACCCGGGGGGGAATTGTCGACGGCCCCTTTTTTGCCCTGAAAGGGATCGTCGCGGGTTGTACCTTCGCGACGAGTCTTATTAGGGCGTTTGCCCTTGAAGCTTCCGATTCCATCCCGCGGGGACCTGATTTTGACGTTTATGTTGACGATTTGAGCCTCAGCGCGACAGGCAAGCCCAACTGTGTGTTGAAGCTTCTTGTTTCAGGAGCTAGAGCTCTGCACTCTGCGATCACGAAGAGTCTCAAGTGCAAGCTGGCCATGGACAAGGTTGGCATGGTCTCCAGCAGCAAGCACATGTCTGCTGCGCTCTCGGCTGAGCTCGGGGACTTAGTTGGCGATCCAGATTGCACTCGGGTGACCAACTTAGGTGTGGATTTCACGGCTGGCAGAGCGGTCAGAGCTCCTGGACGGAATAGGTATTCCAAGGCTAAGCAGAGGGCGGCAGCGGCCCTCAGGAAAGCTCGGCGTCTCGGGAGACTGGGCCCCACTCTGGGGCGCAAGGTTGTCAAAATCTTCGCCGCTGGACCCTTAGCTGGGGCTGTGTATGGTTCGGATCTGTATGGGGCTTCTGACCGTGAGCTGCTGTCGCTTCGACGCTTAGCCATGTCCTGTGTCAAACCCTCCGCGCAGGGTAGGTCCCTTGCAGTTTTGTGTATTTAGAGGGGGACCCTACGTGGAGGGCCAGCTGCGCCCCTATCATCCGTTGGGCCAAGGAGGTGTGGGTCCGTCAAACGAGGGCCTTTGAGTGGGCCCTGAGTTGGGCCGAGCTTCGGACTGGGTGGAGTTCGGTTTTCAAAAAATATGACTGGACCTGGGCCAAAGTTTCGGGACCTATCTGAGGACTTCGTATGTCGTTGTATAGGCTTGGTTGGACCATGCCCAATTTTACTACCATCGTGGACGATTTTGGTCACGAGATTTCTCTCACCTTGTCGCCGCCCAAACTGGTGAAGCTTTTTTGCAAGGGGGCTGTTTTTTCGGAGCCTTGAGCGGGAATCGGGGGATAAGTGTCAGGCAGGTGCCCGTCTCTGTTGGGACGTCCCAAAGAGGCTCCTGGCGTCCAAGAAAATTCCTGGGGATAAGAAGGGTATGATCCGAGCCCTGGCCACCAATGCCTGCTGGACTGCAGGCGATGCGGCCGACTTAGGCTACCCCATCTCCAGCTTGTGCCCGCTGGGCTGCGGCGCTAAGGACACCCTGTTTCACCGCCTCTGGGTGTGCCCGTGCGTGCAGGCCGAGCGGGACGAGTACATGCCGAAGTGGATCCACAAAGCGGCGCTTGAAGTGCCTGTTAGTGACCCCGAGAGGAAAACTCTGTGGCTTCATGGTGCGTTCAAACATCCTGGGGACTGGGCTCCGAAGCCGGCTATCTCGCCCGACGGCGTCACTGTAGACTGGCATACTGACCTGCTCCCTGATCCTGCCAGGCTAGGTTCGCCTCCCTCCATTAGTCCCAGGGACGGCGTCTGGGGGCACATTTTCATGGATGGGTCCTGCTCTCGGCATCAGGTTAGGGAGTTGTCTAGGGCGGGGTGGTCTGTGGTTATGGTCTCGGAGTCTGGGGAGAAGCTTGGGGTTATTAAAGGCCCCCTCTGGGCTCCGTGGCCTCAGACCCCCCAGGGAGCCGAATTTGGTGCCCTAGCCTGGACTGCGTTGTACACGGAGGGTCCTGCTCAGTGTTACTCAGATTGCGCTAATGTGGTGCTGTTACAGAATCTTGGCGGAGCCGAGGCGATAGGCCCAGCCCGACAGTACGCTGGATTCGCCATGCAAGCTCGCCACCATTTTGGCCGCTTTTGTGAGGGCTTTCACAAAGTGGCTGCTCACAAAGATCTGGAGGAGGAGGGTTTGTCGGCGGAGGAGCGCTTTCGGAGGTTGGGAAATGCGTATGCCGACGTCGAGGCGAAGGAAGGTGCGAAGCGCCATCCTACTATGACGCCAACGGAGGCCGACACATTAAGTCGTACTTTAGAGATTGCCAGGGCTGTTTTGTTGGGCGGAGCAGCGCTGCTCCCGCTGTGGCCCAAAGTCGAGTTCCGTGGCTTAGAGCGAGTCCAGCCGCCGAAGCCACCGCGCCCTCCTAGTCTCGTGCTGGAGCACGATTGGGAGCGCCAAGGTTGCTTCTGGAGGTGCCGCGTGTGTTTGCGAGGCTCCAGAGCGTCAGCCCTGCCGAACGGAGGGTCTGAGTGTGCGGGCCGCAGCAGGCTCGACAGGTGCGTTCTGGAGAGTCTAGGGCATCGCGTGATAGCGTTCCCCTGCACTGACAATTCTAACCTGTTCCTTTGCATGTCTTGCAAGTTTTATAGCAGTGGTGGAGTTGCGTTTGGCCTGGGGCGTAAGTGCGCCCCACCGACGGAGTCTGGCGTGAAGAACATGCGTAAGCTCCGTAGAGGCCTGCATCCTGATAAGAAGGGTGTTTACGTCAGCATCGACGAATTCATCCCGCTGTTATAAGGTACAGGTTCAGTGCCGCACCAGTTGCGCCTCTGGGCTGGTCGTGCAGATACTGCTCATAACAGAGGCCGCGGCGTTGCTGCCAAAAAAACATGAAAACACGTGTTTGTTTTGGAAAACGAAAAAAATTTCACATGCAGAAACAGGAAAGCCTTGAACAAAAATCGACAGTCACAAGTTTCGTTGCTTGCTCGTGTTTCTCCATGTGAAGAGCCACAAGTTTCTAACTGTTGATCCTTGTTGTCCTGTTTCCCCCTCCCTCCCTCGAGCGCCCTGGAGTCTCCGAGCGGCCCACGGCCCTTCTTCGCAGCAGAACGGAGGAGAGGAAGCAGGAAAAACAGAAAACATAATGAAAAACTTGCGTTTTCACCGGAAACAGAAAAAAAACACGAACAAGCAACGTTTCTTGTTTTTCCCTGCGGAAGCACATGTTTGTTTACGCTCTTCCCTCCCTCCCTCGAGCGCCCTGGGACCTCCGAGCGGCCCACGGGCCCTCCGCCCAGAATGCGTGTGCCTCGGGCCCCGGGGCCCCAGGTGATTACCATTCGATCAAGATTGGGTGTCTTGTCAAGTCACATCACAAAGAGCGGATCACTGATCCAGATGATTTGTTCGTTGCTTGCGAGAGAGGAGGGCCCCACAGCGTTCCTTTCTCCATGACATGAGCGAAATGCCTCGCGAAGCCGCGGCCCCGCTCTGAATGCAAGCGCGCGCCGAAGGATCGCGCCTTTTTTTCCCGCGTCGGCGCCGTCCTGACCGCCGCGCTTCTCCACCGCCCAATGGGGCAGCCACTTCTTCAAGTCGCTGTAAACGAACGGTTTCGCGATCCCTTTCGCTTAGGCCGCTTTGACCTGCGCTGCGTCGACGCGCCGCTCGCGAACGCCGAGCGAAAAACCGCGCGCACGAGAGCGCCTGGCCGTCGAGCCAGTCACACGACGCCAGCGAAGGCCAGCAAGCAGAGGGCAAATCGCTGAGGCGGATGTCGCCCAGCTTCTCGCCGATGTCGACGTGCGCGGCCGCGGTTGGCTTGCGCACGAGGGCATCCACGAGCGCAGCAACAGGGTCGCTCGACCCCCGCGCCGACGCGGCGTCGCCTCGGGCATTGGCCATGTTCACCGCCTCGGCCTTGGCAGCGTTCTCCACGGCACGCCTGACAGCACGGTCGAGGAATGCCACTTTCCCGCCGGTGAGGCCGTTCTTGTCGAACGAGCTCGCATGAATGTTGAGCCCGGTCAGGTCTTGCTCGACCTGGCATGCTCTACGCGAGCCGCCTGGACCGAGAAGGCGCGCGGCGCTCGCCGTGACAGAATTCACGTTAAGCGCCGCGCTGACGTCGCGTAAGTACGCTGCGTCGCGCTTCGCGTGCGCGTCGACGCCAGACAGAAAAGCTGACAAATCCGCCATGGATGCGAGCGGGCGCCGCCGGTAACGCGAATAACGCTATCGTGCGCACTCTACCCGCGCTCGGCTGCAGCGCGCACATCGAAGCAGACCACGTACGTACGGGCCTCGTTTGGCCGTTCGCTCGACGCTCGCGAACCACGTGCGGATGCGGCGCAGACGTCGGATTGCGTCTGATCGGGCCTCGTTCGGTCATTCGCTCTCGAACCTTGTTCGGAGGCAGCGTAGACGTCGAATTGCATCTGATCGGACCTCGTTCGGTCGTTTGCTCACGATCCTCGTTCGGAGGCGGCGTAGACGTCCTCGTTCGGTCAATTCGCTTACGATCCTCGTTCGGATGCGGCGTAGACGTCGAGATGCGTCTCGTCGCACCTCGTTCGGTCAATTCGCTCGCTATCCTCGTTCGCATGCGGCGTAGACGTCGTATTGCGTCTAATCGGACCTCGTTCGGTCATTTGCTCGCGACCCTCGTTCGGATGCGGCGTACGGAATGACATCCATCATTTTTTATCCCGCGGTTCGGCATCTGGGGTCCTCAATCGGGCCCAGGGACTTTCACCGATGCATCTTGGACGAAAAATACCCCATGGAAAGGGTCGGTAGTTCTGAGGCTGCGAATGGAGAACAAATAAAAAACGGCGGACACTCCGCCGACCCCCAAGAAGAGTACACATGAGGACATGCCTGGCTTCCGGTATCGTGTGCGCTGTGCTCTGCTTCTCGCCGTGTTGCTAGCGCACAGTTGTTCTTTATGCGTCCACCGCGTCCTCCGCAGCAGTACTTGCGACATTGCACTCGGGCGCAGATTCGTGCAGAGAGCTCAAGAGGAAGACGGTCCTCCTCGTGGCAGCTCGGCCTGGCCGCTACGACGGCACGAGGGGGGCCCTTCTGAGAGGGCAGAAGGCCCCTTGGAAGCCCTCGTACTCGAGCGATGGGAGTCGGGGGTGGACAGAGCCCCCACCCTGACACGTCGATTAGTGAATTGTCCGTTTTCGGTTCTCGAGAGGGCGCCGCGGCCGTCATTTTCCAGGCTTGCGCTCGCCAGGTTTGGGCCCGAGGTCGATTTCACTAAACCACGTTTTGCTATAGGGGCTTCTGTCCATCCCCGAGGGAGGTTCGGTCGTTTGCCGACGTCGCTTCTCTTTCTTCCCCCGGCTCCTGCACGCTGTGCTTCGCAAAACGTTCCAAAACGTTTCAGATGATAACGTTTCAGAAGTTTTCTTAGAGGAATCGGAACCCTCTAGGAGCCCCCCCTTTCCCTTCTGAGAAGGCCGCCCCCCTCATCCGACCCCCTTCTGTGCACCGCCAGGGCTGGTCATTTCGAGAAAAGTTGATCGGCATTGACAGTGAAGCGCTGGCTTGGATCGCTGTGGCCTCGTGACTTCAGGTAATAGACACTTGGAAGCTCGTAGTCTGCAATACGAGACAAGGCCAAGACAGAAGTCTCTCCCTCCTCGCTGATCACAGCGCGCCTGCGCTACCCCTACTTCCGTTGCCACACGCGGCCCCGCAGCGACAGCGGCACGCCCTACGTAAGCCTTCAGCCTGAGCCCAGGATGTGATTAGCAGTCCAGAGCGCGATGTCGACGGCAGACACGAAGTACAAGAAGGGCGATGAGGTATACGTGTTCTATTCCTAGGACACCTTGATTCGTCGATCAGGGCTCGATGAGGTCGTTGACTCGACCGGTCCATCGATCGATCGGGCCGAGGCGGTCGATCAGGATTCGGTCAGCGTAGTGTTCTGTGCCTTCGTGGTGGGAGGGGCCTGCCGGATCAGTATCGGGACCATGGCGCGCATCAGCTAGGATCGGGGAGGGGGCTCTGAGGTTCTATTCCATGAACAAGCGATGCCAGCGCCACCGCAAGTACATGGCAGTGCTGGACCCGCGGCACGGTTCTTTCAGGCCTCCTCCTTTCCCGTCTCTCTCCGTCTGGTTCCAAGGACCGTATTCGAATTTGGGATTTCTCTCTTTCTGCTTCTCTCTCTCTCTCTCTCTCTTTCTCTCTCTCTCTAGCTCTCTACATCCAGCTGTTAACCCCCTTTGTCTGTGCAGAACAGCCATTTCTGAAGCGTGTGCCGCAAGGTGACAGGTACCCCAGGCAATAATTGTCACGAGTGCCCTTTGGTGACTGTTGTCGTCCAGTCAGTAGCACCGATAATTTGGAGATCATCTCCTCCTTGGGCGTCTCATCATCAATATTGTCGTCATAATCATCATCATCAACATCATCATCACCACTCTCAGCATCATCAGCAGCATCATCATCAGCATCATCAGCATCTCTTTCATCATCATCATCATCATCATCACCATCATCTCATCATCATCTCATCATCATCATCATCATCATCATCATCATCATCATCATCATCATCATCATCATTATCATTATCATTATCATTATCATCGTCATCGTCATCGTCATCGTCATCATCGTCATCGTCATCATCGTCATCGTCATCTTCATCAGCATCATCATCATCAGCATCAGCATCATCATCATCATCATCATCATCTACCATGGTATGATCCCCCCCACCCCATCGTCAATATACTAGGCCACGGGACCCATCATCGTACCACCAGGTGTGTCGGCGGGGCGCTCTGAGCCGCACGCGTCCAGGCTGCCTCACAGGCTGGCAGTTGCGAACGTCCGCACGGCCGGAGGGCGGCTCGCTTTCAGGATGTGGCTCTCGCGTTCTTCCCCAGGCTGCGGCCTCGGGGTCCGTTCACGGGCCCCGGGGCCATCAAAGACAGAGCCGGCACGTCAAGTACCCCGAGGGAAGGGATTGGGAGCTCCAGGGCCGCGGATGCCCAGCGCCTCCCGCTCAATGCATGTCAATGGGAAGCAGATCGGCACTGTCGACGTTCACCTGCACAGCGTGGAACCGTTACTCCAAGGGGCAGGCGCGCATTCGGTGGTGCGGGTGATGATGCGGGTGATGATGGTGGTAGTGATGATGACCACGGTGGTGTTAATGATGCTGGTGACGCTGGTGATGACGATGATGACGATGACGATGACGATGTTTGATGATGATGATACTGCTGATGATGATGGTGATGATGGTGGTGACGGCGATGATGATCATAATTATAATGTGGACGGTGATGATGATGTTGACGATGGGATGATGGAGTGCTGATGGCGATGATGAGATAAAGGAGGAGGGGGAGGAGGAGGAGAGGAGAAGAGAGGAGAGGAGGTGACGCGGGTCGCTGTTTCGTCAAAACGAGGACCCAACAATACAGGATGATAGAGAAAAAGAACGAGGAGGAAAAGGAGGAGGAGGAGGAGGAGCAGGAGGTGGGGGAAGCAGGATGGAAGGAAGGAAGGAATTCGGTGCGCTGTCTCTTCAGTACCCAACACCACAGGGCGATTGGGGAAAAACAGGAGGACGAAAAGGAGAGGAGGGGTAGGGGAAGGAGGGGTGAGGAAGGAAGGCAGGAAACGCGGGTCGTTGTCTTTGCAAAGCGATGACCCAACACCACAAGATGATTGGGGAAAAAGAAGTGGAGGCAAACGAGGAGGAGGGGGAGGAGGCAGGAAGGAAAGAAGGAAGGAACGCACGCGGGGCGCTGTCTCTTCAAAAACGGGGACCCGACGCCACAGGACGGTTCGGACAGAGGAGGAGGAGGAGGAGGAGGAGGAGGAGAAAGTGGAGGAGGAGGACGAGGAAAGGGAGGAGGAAGGAGGAGGGAAGGAAGGAAGGAAGGAGTGTGGGGCGCTGTCCCCCCCAAAACGAGGACCCAACACCACAGAATGGTTCGGATTCCTCTCCAGGCACGCCCGCCTGGCTCGCCGCTTCCGCGCGGCGCTGTGGGCGCAGCTGGCCCTGCGCGGGCTGCTGGCCGGGCCCCCCGCGGCGGGCCCGCGCCGCCCCCCGCGGCAGCGGGCGGCCCGCGCGCGCGGCCGCAGGGCAGGTGCGGCCAAAAGCGCCCGTGCGCTGCGGGAGGGAAAGGGCACATGTGTTGGACGGCTCACCCTGCCCTGATCGTCCGTCCCTTCCTTGTCCTTCCCCTCCTCATCATCATCAGCAACAGCAACAGCATCATCAACAGCATCATCATCATCATCATCAGCATCATCATCATCATCATCATCATCATCATCATCATTAGCAGCAACAGCAGCAGCATCATCACCATCACAATCATCCTCGTCTCACCGTCATCGTCAACAGCATCATCATCATCATCATCATCATCATCATCATCATCATCGTCTTCAATTTCATCATCAGCATCAGCATCAGCATCATCATCATCAGCAGCATCACCAGCATCATCGTCATCAGCATCAGCATCAGCATCATCGTCAACAGCAGCATCATCACCATCACCGTCACCATCACCACCACCACCAGCACTACCCTGTCATTCTCCCCTTCCTCGTCCCTCAACACGGCAGACAGCAGAGCCACAGGAGAGCGTGGCATGGACAGTGCAGCCCCGCTCGCGCGTGAAAAGCTACTGGCGAGCAAGGGCACAGCAAAGCCCCAGGACAGAGAGGCACTGGTTTCCCGGGCGGCGAGGACTTTACCTGCAGGCGTGCTTGCGCCGCGAACAAGAGCACAAGCGGAGGCTTCTGGCCGGTTTCGGCCTCCCGGGGCCCTCGCCGGGCCCCTGGACATCCCAGGACGGTCAAGTGTTCCCAGCAGGGCGCCCTGTAGTAGCAGCGAAGACGAAGAGGCGGGCCGAGGAGCAGCAGCAGCGCGGCCAGGAGGCGCTTTGGAAGCAAGAGATGTGACCGGGGCAGGGGTGAGAGCACAGCCGTGTGCACGTTCGTGGATGTGCTGCGGGGATCGTAGCCGCACAGACCAAAAATGTAGCCGGCATCGAAGTGAGAGCCAGGAACGGCCGACCTCGACGGCCAGCCCCTTGAGGCACCCTCCCCTCCTCCTCCTCCTCCTCCTCCTCCTCCTCCTCCTACTCCTCCTCCTCCTCCTCCTCCTCCTCCTCCTCCTCCTCCCTCCTCCTCCTCCTCCTCCTCCTCCCCCTCCCCCTCCCCCTCCCCCTCCCCCTCCCCTCCTCCTCCTCCTCCTCCTCCTCCTCCTCCTCCTCCTCCCTCCTCCTCCTCCTCCTCCTCCTCCTCCTCCTCCTCCTCCTCCTCCATCCTTCTGGTGCGCCGCTCCAGCACGAGGAAGTTTCAGGCCAAGGTTGCTGGACCCGGCGGTCTCGGGCTCTCCGCCCTTTTGTGTAGGACTCTTCTGCTGTCTTTTTGCACGATTGCGAGGGCCCTGTAGCAATAGGGAGAGTGTAGCCGGCACTGGGGCGAGATCACGGTTCTGGAATACACTGCGAATACGTCGGAGGCGAAGCCGCCGCCAGATTGGGTGTCTGCCGTACGGCGTATGTTTTGCAAGGGATCGTGGTCGTTCCGTCCACCCGATGGTAGCCGGCACCGGGGCGAGAGCGCGATTCTGGAACAATCAAGCAGTGGCGAAGCGTCCCGGCTCGCCTATAGCCCCACCAAACAATGTTCTAAGAACCTTTTTGTGGTTCCCACGAAATGCTCTTAGAACATGTATGGTTGGGACTGTTTTGTTTTAGCACATCGGGTTTATGTTCTAAGAACATTGTTTTTGTTATTGGAACATTTTTGGGTTCTAAGAACATGTGGTGGTATGATTATAGGAATGCCGGGACGGTCGGTCCCTGCTCAAAACAAATTGTGCGGAAATTTCACGCGAAACGGCTGCTGGATTGGGCGATCCCGGGCTCCCCGTCCCATCCGTGGGACTCTTCTGTGGCGCCTCGCGCACCACGAGCAGACAACGTGCAGTTTTTACAAGTGAGTATACCCAGCATTGGGGCGAGAGCGCGACTCCCGAATACACCAGGATTTCAGGTGACGGAGATCTGCAGTGGTCTCCACGCGTAGAACTGTTTCGTAGCAGCCTTTACACAATAACCCCTGGCGCGCATATCCCCCCACCATTAAAAACATGTTGTAAGGCCGCCACCAAGGACATTATGTTGTAAAGGCTGTTACACATGGGATCTAAGAGTGGAGGCCACTGCAGGCCCCTCACACTTAAAAAAACCCTTGCGTAGGGTCGCCGCAGCAGGAATCCTGTTATAAAGGCTGCTAGACACTGATTTAAAGTGCGGAATGTCTGCGCCGTAAGAGCACTGACCGTCGCAGGTATTCCTACTTGTTCCTGCTGTTCCATGTGAAAGCGAAAGTTTATTGGCATGCTTTCCTCTCTAGCTTTCCTGGGCTCGAAGTGCCGCCACTGCAGATCCCCCCACAGTGAAAACTCTGCTGTAAAGCCGCCACATAAGGATTCACTTTGTTAAGGCTGTTACACAAGGATTCGAAGTGGGGAGGCCATTGCAGATCCCCTCACTGGAAAACCTTGTGTAAGATCGCCATTTCTGATTTCCTGATGTAAAGGCTGCTGCAACATGTTTTTAAGTGTGGAACGCCTGCACCATAAAAGTAACGACGGTCATAGGTATTCCTAGCTTTTTCCGATTGTTCCATGTGAAAGCAAAAAACTGGTTCCATGCTGTTCCTGTTGTTTTCCTAGTTTTCCTCCTTAGCTTTCTGGACTCGAGGTGCCGCCACTGCAGATCCCCCACGATGAAAACTCTGTTGTAAGGCCGCCGCACAAGGGTTCCGTTTGTAACGGCTGTTACACAAGGATTCGAAGTGTGGAGGCCATTGCAGATCTTCCTCACTTGAAATCCTTGTGCAAGGTCGCCACACAATCAATTCTGATGTAAAGGCTGCTACACAAGAATTGTAAGTGTGGATGCCGCAGTAAATCACCGGTTTTACACTGTTGTTCATGTGTTTCTTGGCTTCCTGTCCTCCGTTCTGCTGCGAGGAAGGTCCGTGGGCCGCTCGGAGACCCCAGGGCGCTCGAGGGAGGGAGGAGGTTTGCGTAAGTACT